GAAGTGGTTTCCACCCTACAGATTCCCTTGAATTCATTGGAGGTACAATTGTATGATACAAATTTACTGAATGAACTAAGCTAATAAATAAATGTATAAGCCTGTAATATCAGTCCTTTTACTTGTCTTTAAAATTTATATTAATATGTACCCCTAGATTCTTATTTTATCTAATAGGATAGAATCTACTACTAATAGTTTTTGTTTTGAAGCTCAGATCATTTGCTTTGCCCTGTGGGGCTCCTTCAAGATGGTTTGCTTTTCCTTTTGAGGTGTACCTTTGATTATTTGAATACTTTTTTGCTTGCTTATATAACAGAATGTTCCAGTTTTATATTAGTTTTTCTCTTCCCCAACTCTGGAATCTGTCTCCACATCCCCACCAAGAAACCTTGTTCCTTTTAGTAAGAATCATATTTAGAAACCAAGATAGGATATTTTGACTCATTTATTGCTATTAGTGGGCCATTATTTCTAAGTCCTTTCAGTGGACAGAGCTAGGAAATATATAGAGAAAGACTTCAATTGGATTTATATGTAATATATTAACTACCCTTATATGTTTTAAAATGATTTCATACTGATACTTCCAATTAATATCACAAATCCCTTTACTTTTCATAAGAAGAGATAAATCACTGGCCTATTTATAAGTAAAATACTAACATTTTTGAAGAGACCTGAAAAATAATATTGATCTCAAAGCCCACTCAAATAAGTTTCATTAATATTTAAACATAGCATATATTAGAATCTAAGATATTGGAGGAAGACATTATCTAGGACTGTGATTGAGATGTTATACAGTAGACTCTTGCAGTTTGGTTCTCGATCTGCGTTGGAATAGAAAACTAAAGGGGGCAAAAGATTGTCCTAATCCTTCACAACATTGTTAACTACATGGAGAAAGCATATTAAGCATGCATCACACCCAGAATCTTGAAATGAATGCATATTTATGAGAGGAGTATAAACAAACAGGGAAGTGTTATAGTGACATACTGACATAGTGACACTACCTACATGGGAAAAATACTAGTGTTTTCTCTTTGGGTAAATAGTGGGTACAGATCTAATACTAGCCATTCCACTTAGCAGTAGCATGACTATTATTTGACTACTAATACGAATAACTTGTCCAGAGATGAAGAGGAGATGTGAACATGTAAACAATGGGCATTTGCATCATACAAGCCCTAGGACTATGTTATCCAGTTCTTACAGTTTTCTCTCAGGGAGTCTTGGAGAACTTTTCTCTAATGGTCTGTGTCTCCTCTGCTATGGTGAAAATTAGAGGTTCTCTACTTGGTTTACTAATTCCAAAGATTAATTCAGTAGAAGTCCATGCCTATTTCTGCTGGTTCCTTTGCTTTATCTAGGAAAATAAACTAAAAAATACAGTTTGACAGCTTCAAGTTTGTTTTATGTGTATAGTAAAACAAAGATCTTCATTTTCATACTGTATCATCTGTGCCTTTGCTACTCTCTTGTAATAATTTAATGACCTGAAAATGATGTAAATATATATATGTATATATTCATGTTATTTTTAAATTCAGAAATCATATTTGTAAAAGTGAATACCGAAAGAAATGATTTTTTATATCATTAAAAAAATTTTTTGACTAGTGTTTGAAGGCAAAATTAATTAACACCAATTAGGGAGTTATTAAATGTGATATATATCCCATTTTACTTAATTATCAAAACAATATATTTGCTAGGGCTTTTATTATTCCCATTTTATAGAAGAAAAAGCTGAGATTACATACTTTATTGAATTTGGTCAACCTCGTGTAATTAATACATAATGGAGATGGGACTTAAAGCCACATATGTTTGACTCTAGACCCTATAGTTTCTTGAGTGCATCATATAAAACTTTGCACTGTTCCTGGCCAAAAACAGCTTTTGCCAAATTGATTCTTTACTTTTTGGTCCATAAGGGAAGGATGTTGGTCTATCTCAGCGATCTCCATGTTTTTAATAAGCAATAAATAAATAATATTCACTACACATAATAGCTTTTCTTCATGGACTCTATTCATTATTGCAAAACAACTATGACTCAGTGATGCTTTGAACTTAATATTATTCATTAAAATACACCTGTATATGCATATGAAAAATACCAGTTGTCACAACAGAATAGAGAGTTCTGTTTTGAAAGGTAACTTAGTTTGTAACTGATAATTGACCATAAATATATGATGATGGTGTAGACAACAAAGATGTGGGTAAAAGTTGGCCTGGAGTCATTTTTTTTCTTTGTTTCTTTTTTAATAGAGTTTTTAAACATTTTTATTGAAGTATAATTAACCTACAGTTAATTATACAGTGTCAGTACAATGTGTACGATATAATGATTCAACAATTCTGTACATTACTCAGTTCTAATCATGTAAACATACTCCTAATCCCCGTTATCTGTTTCACCCATGCCCTACCCACCTCCCTCTGGTAACCACCAGTTTGTTCTTCATATTTGAGAGTCTGATTTTTTGTCCATCTCTTTTCCTCTTTTCATTTATTTTGTTTCTTAAATTCCGCATATGAGTGAAATCATATGCTATTTGTCTTTCTCTGTCTGAATTATGCTACTAAGCATTATATCTTCTGGGTCCACCCATGTTGTTGCAAATGGTAAAATCTCATTTATTATTTTTTTGACTAAGTGATATTACATTGTATATGTACACCACATTTTCTTCATCCGTGGATGGACATTTGGGTTGCATCCATATCTTGGCTATTGTAAATAATGCTGCAGTAAACATAAGGGTGCCTGGAGTCATCTTAAGTGAACTTTATCCAAAAGGGCTGCCTAATAAGCAATAAGATCCCAACAGAGAGTCTATGAAGAGATGAACTCCTGAGAACCAAATCATAATGAAGTGCAGGTGAGAGATGCTTACCAATGAATGGAGAGAGAAGTAATGGTCTGAAGAACCCTGCAAAGAACTGAAATACCCTGAAATAACCTGCAAGAGAAAAAAACACAAGAGTCATCTTTGACACCTGTCAAACCAGAGAACAATGTACAAAAGTACCAGCAGGCAGGATCTTTCCTATGCCCTGACCTCTCTTCCATCCACCATCTTGAACCCTGGCATGATCAGAAGCAGTACAAGTTAGCAGTTGTGGAGAGAAAGAAACACAAGTTTGGAAAATAGACGAATATCTATCTAAGCCACACTGTATACTGCAGGCCTGCCTTCTGTTGCATGGAGGATTAAGTGAGTGCAGAAGATTATTACTCTGACTGTACCTATCACTTTTAGAATTGAAATCATTTAAGTAACTGAATACCAGGGGGATTTTTATTATTTAAAAACAGCTATAAGACACCAACCAAGATTTTATCCAGAAGACAAAGAAGAATTACCCTATAGAGCACACTTTAACGGATATTATGAGAGAAAAAGTTACTTTAAGACTTAATTTGGCAATTCTTTTCATTCAAAATATCACAAGGATTTATATATCCATGTATTATATATCAAAAATAGACACTTTACATGTGCATATATCATAGGGAGGACATTGCCTTTTGCAGAGTTTCCTTGTTTAAATATTCATACTTGATTAGTCTCTCAATTGCATTTCTGTATATTCTTTGTTCCTAAATTCCTTAGCTATAAGCAAATAAGGGTCAAGTTTTTATATGCAAGATTCTGTGTTTTTCTTTATAATTAGAGAAAATCATATTTTATCTAAAATCCATGGGCACATGATATATGACACCCTATCATATTTGCATGTGAATGTTTATAAAGTACAAGTCATCTCAAATTATAGGATCAGAATTAGATTTGAAAAAATGTATTCAATAAGATGTGTAAGTGGAGATAGACTTAATTCTAATTGAATTCACAGAGGATTTGAAATTAGATGTAAATCTCTAATATCATATTACATTAAATATAAATTAGTATTTGATTTGCATTCAGAAAAATGTACTATGTTCACTTCTGAGTACCATTTAGACAGAACATTAGAACAATATCTCTATTTTCTCTTTTCCCCCTGCCATCTAAATATTATTAAAAAATCTGTCCCACCTGATAACCACTATTAAAGTCTGGGTTTTAGAAATCCAGAGAAACTAAGATTTACATTTTAGTGGGAGATAGAATACAGTAAAAAGTATTTTTCTAAGTGTGGAAAAAATGTTTCTTATGAGGTAACAATTTTAATACCTTAAAAACTAATCCAACAAATACTAAATTTTAGATATAACAGAAAAGATCTATAAAACACAAAAGAGTTTCTTTAATAAATGTTCCACACTTAGCTTATAGAATTAATTTAGGACTTCGCGTTCTCTATTCAGTATGTAGACATTAAAGAAATGTTATTTGAAACTGATACTGGTAAATAATAACTTAGAAAAACTTTAGAATTTGGATTTAAGTCCTATGATTTAGAATTTGCATGTTATCCAAAGGAAATTAGTATTGGTTATTACTTGGACCCTAGAACCGCCATTTAATAAGGTGTATTAAAAGAAGAATATTCTACTATAAAAAGCTATTAATGGCCTATAATGACCTCATTCTTTCTTGTATGATGAGAGTAATAAAGTTTGTAAAATGTGTATTTATACTATTTCATTAATAACCATGTCTATTCATGAAAAAATAAAACCCCAAAATATACCAAAAATGAAGTTATTAATATTTAGTATTACTCTGAAAATTGAGACTGACTAAAAATACCAGTTGTGATTATAAAGCATTCTGAATTCAGTGACTCCTTTGACAGTCCTAATTTCCTACCTAAGAGCTATTCTCCACTTCTCCCTTACTGACAGGACCCCGTTTTGTTCAGGTTGGCAATGTTCCCAGATAAAATACTCACCTTCTCAGACAGTGTTGCAGCCAAGAGTAGCAATGTAACAAGAATGTAGGCAATGAGATACAAGTATATTTCTGCTAGAGACTTATAGGATTATTTCTGTTTTTCTAACACATTCTTTGTGTCCCTTTCTCTTTTCCCAGGCTACAGCACATCTGAAGAGGGAGAAGCCATCTTGCCTCTATGATTAGACAAGCATGAGGATAAAATCTTCCCTGTGAAGATAATGGAACAAAGTTGTAGAAGGGGCCTAGACTGCCTTCCCTTAGACCTCTTGTTATGTGAGGAGAATAAAATGTTATAAGGTTAAGCCACAGAGATGGGCTTCTGTTTCATACATGTAAACATATCACAGTTCATACAATGTCCATTTATTGGCAAAAGTATCCAATTTAAAGGGTTAATTTGAGGGACTAGCAGATACCTAACACAAATCTCAGAAAAATTACAGTTATTTTTAATCCATCATGATTACAGTTATTTTTAATCCATCATGATTTTTCAGTAATGGTTATCTCTAACTCATTTTTTTTAAAGTTTATTTTGAGAGAGAGAGAGAGAGAGAGAGAGAGAATAGGCACATGCAAGTGGGGGAGGAGCAGAGAGACAGAATCCCAAGCAGTCTTTGTGCTCTTTACACAAAGGCCGACATGGGGCTCCATCGCACAAGAACTCTAAGATCATGGCCTGAGCTGAAATCAAGAATTGGATGCTTAACAGACTGAGCCACCCAGCTGCCCCTCTTTAACTCATTATTTATACATTCAATTATCCATTCAATATCCACTTCATTAAGGAATAGATCCTAATAAATTCCATTATAAACAATTTAATGGTGACATCTGGGTGGCTCAGTTGAATAAGCATTGGACTCTTAGTTTCAGCTCAGGTAATGATCTCATGGTTCTTCTAAGATTGGGTCTCTCTTTATCTCTCTTTCTCTCTCTCTCCAAGTAAGTAAACATTTTTTAGAAATGATTTATTGATTTATTTATCTTCAGTCATCACTGGAGGTTTGGAGTGTGTGCCTATTTTGACCGATTTACTTTAACTGTATTCCCACTTTCTTAAGAGTTTATATCATTAATGGATGCTGAATTTTTTCAAACACTTTTCCTATATCTATTGAGATACTCATGTGATTGTAACTCTCCATTTCACTGATGTGGTGTATCACACTGATTGATTTGTGGATGTTGACCATCTTGGCATCACTGAAATAAATCATACTCAATATGGCATATGATCCTTTTAATGTATTGTTTAATTCAGTTTGCTAATATTTCATTGAGAATTTTTGTGTCTGTATACATCAGTGATATTAGCCTATAATTTTTTGCCTGAGGTCTGTCCAATTCTGGTATCTGGGTAATGATGGCTTCTGATATTAGTTTGGAAATGTTCCATCCTCTTTGATCTTTTTGGAAGGGTTTAAGAAAGATTGGTATTAATTCTCTTTATCTTTGGTAGAATTCACCAGTGAAGCCACCTCTGATAGATTTTTGTTTTGGGGAGGTTTTTTGTTTGTTTGTTTGTTTTTTGTTTTCTTTTGGGTTTTGTTTTTTGTTTTTTGTTTTTGTTTTTGTTTTGCTGTTGGGAGGTTTTTGACTACTGATTCAGTCTCCTTTAAAATTAGTCTGTTCAGACTTATTTCTTCATTATTCAGTCTTGGTAGGTTGTGTATTTCTATGAATTTATATGGGCATCTGACTGGTTTAGTGGGTTGAGCACCTGACTCATGATCTCAGCTCAGGTCTATGAATTTATCCATATCTTATATGTTGTTCAATTTGTTGGCTTTTAATCATAGTACTCTCTTTGATCCTTTATATTTCTGTGGTATTGTAACACCTCATTTCTGCTTTTAGTTACTTGAGTACTCTTTTTTTTTTCTTGATGATCCTAGCTAAAGTTATGTCTATATTGTTTATTTATGGAAAGAACACCTTTTAGTTTCATTGGTCTTTTCTATCACTTGCTTAGTGTCTATTTCATTTAGTTCTGCTTTGATCTTTTTTATTTCCTTCCTTCTAACTCTGACCTTTGTTCTCTTTCTAGTTCCTTTAGATATGAAGTGTGAAATTTTTATTTCTTTTATTTAAATTTATTTATTTTGAGAGAGAGAGAGCATATGTGTGCATGTGTGAGTGGGAGAGAGGCACAGAGAGAGAAAGAATCACAAGCAGGCTCTACTCTCAGAGTGGAGAGCCAACACGGGGCTTGTTCTCATGACAACTAAGAGATCATGATCTGAGCTGAAACCAAGAGTTGGAACTTAACCAACTGAGCCATCCAGAGGCCCTTTCTTGTTTCTTCATGTAAGTATTTATTGCTATGAACTTCCTTCCATTTACTTTATCTGATAGTAAAATATCTTATCAAAGAAACATTTATTGATAGAGCCAAGCCATGTCTTTTATCTTACTCTGAGACTTCTCTGTCACTTAACCATACTGAGTATTGAGAACAATTATAAGGCTTCTGCATCCAATTCATGAAGTAGAGAGGAGTTGTCCACGTGAACAAGCAATATTGGACACCAACTAGGTATTCTTCAACTCAATTCTGATACTGTTTACCCAGAGATAGCATCAGATTCCACAGTTTAAAGGTTTGGTTTCACACAATTGCTGAGCCTTCCTTCATATGCTAGTCACACGTCCTTATTGTCACCTTTGCTTTTGACCAGCCAGCTATAGATAAGGTTCCAATGACTTCCTCCTCAGGTTCAAATGATTTGAGACAGGAGCTTACAGGACTCAGGAAAATAATGTATTTACTGGATTACTAGTTTATTATAAAAGGGTATAACTTAGGAATAGCAAAATGATAAGGATGTATGGGGAAAAGTATGGGGAAAGGACTTAGAGCTTCCATGTCCTCTGATGTACCACTCTACCCACACCTATGCATAATCATGTACCCAAAGGCACTCTGAACCTTGTCCTTTTGGGATTTTATGAAGGCTTCATTATATAGGCTTCACTGATTAAATCATTAAACGTTGACAATTTTTTCACCTTCCAGTTCTCTCCTTCCCCTCCTTAGAAGTCAGTCAGGGTGGGGATGGGGGTAGGACTGAACTTTTGCACCCTTTATTCATCTTGGTTCCCCTGGCAACAAGCCCCCCCCCTTCCCAGTTGCTTTCCAAAAGTTACCTCATAATTCCAGTTGTGGAAAGGAGCTTGTTATGAATAACAACTTCCATTTCATCTCTATGGCTCTGAATCCAATTCAGGAACTGAGGACAAGAGACAATATAACAAAAGATGTTCCTATTGCTCTTATTGTTCAGGAAGTTCCATGGGTTTTGATAGCTATGAGAAAGGAGCCACAGATGAAGACCAAATATATATTTCTTATAACTCACAATATCAAAAATTAATATTTGGAGATCTTTAAGCTGAGGGGAGTAATATAACCATTTCACTGATTAGTATATTAAACATTGAAGTTACATTTCGTTGGTCAAAATAATTTTTTAAAGAATTTTTTGTATGTTTATTTTTGAGAGAGAGAACATACATGTATTTGTTCGTGTGAGTAGGAGTGGAACAGAATCCCAAGCAGACTCTTCACTATCCACACGGAGCCCAACACAGAGCTGGATGTCACAAGAATCTTGATATCATGACCTGAGGCAAAATCAAGAGTCAGATACTTTACCAACTGAGCCACCCATGCACCCCCAAATCATTAATGATACAGATACTTTTCAATTTTCCATTAAGGTGGCAGAAGATAAAAAGTTACTAAGGTAAAACACCATGAAAAAGATAAAAACAACTCTTTCTCAGGGTCTGGGAAAGGTTTCTAGAAACTGGATGGACCCAGCCTAGACTGAGAAACCTGAGGGCATCTTATACTTTTGCCTTCAGGTGTGAATAGTACCTAAGAGCAGATGGCAAGGTTGAAATTCACACCCACTACCCATCCCTAGTACACAGAGGCAGGGATTTTGCCAACTACAATGAAGATTTCAGTTGTCACTTGCTCCCAAGCATTTTCTGACACACAAGTGTTTATAAATTACAGCACTGATGTAGAAACTCTCAAAAGTTTACTCTAACACAGAATTCAAGGGATTAAGAATTAAAACTAAAATTGAGAAGTAAAAAATGGAAAATTTTACATAAATGTTCCTATAGTGAGCCTTGATATGAATGAATCCAATAAGTTTATGTACACATGTTAACGTAATTTGACACAAGTGAGTGTCACTTGAAAAAGAAGATATGTAATTCTAAAAAAAATGTAATCTATGCCTCTTACCTATAATCTATACCAATATTAAATTAACAGAGATCTGTAAGTGTAGGGATGTGTTTAAAAAAGCACAGTAGACTTCTTTTTTTATATAGGTGGGAGGTTAAATTTGTTAAATTTAAAGGTAAAAAATTATATAATGACCTTTTTTTGTTCTTTTTTAAAAAAATGTTTATTCATTTTTGAGAGACAGAATACAAGCAAGGGAGGGGCAGAGAGAGAAGGAGACACAGAATCTGAAGCAGGCTTCAGGCTCTGCTGACAGCTCAGAGCCTGATGTGGGACTCAAACCCACAAACTGTAAGATCATGACCTTAGCTGAAATCAGATGCTCATCTGACTGAGCCACCCAGGTGTCCCTTATAATCAAGACCTTTCTTAGAGAATATAAAGTAGACATCAGTGGAAGATGGAAAAGTAGGAGGATCCTCCGCTAATCTCATCCCATGGACACGATTAGATAATACATATCAATGTAAATAACACGGAAAATGACCCAAGGGTCCTTGGTTGGCAGAACAGACTCTCCACTGCTAAATACAGTGAGAGACCACATCAAAGAGGATAGGAAGGAGAGAACTCACTTGGGAGATAAATAGACCTGCAGAACTGCCCACAGAAGGGAGGGATGTGTTATGTACCAACAGGGGAGAGGACCAGACCCCCGCAACAGGCACCTCAAGCAAGGGAGGCCAAAACTGGGAGGATGAATCCTCATAACATTTGGCTTTAAAAACCAGAGAAGCCTAACAATCAGTGAGGATTAAATCTAGAACTTTAAAAATCAGTGGGCTCAGCTCTAGGAGAATTTGAAGGTTGGAGTCCCTTCCTTTAAAGAGACTAACACAAAAAAACAGCCTCACTGATATAACAGCATAGAAATAACAAGTTTGAAAAATCACCTGGGGCATATGGGAAGAGATTCATTTACTCGTCTTAAAACACGTGCGGGGGGGGCAAGAATCTTTTGGAAATCTTCTCCAAGAACAAAAGAACTGGGGGAGAAATTTCTTTCCCTACTCCCCAGCCTAGTTACATAGATAC